CAGCTAGGCTAAGCTAAGACTCCTACCAGAGAGAGATAGACTGGACCAGCATGGAGTCCAAAGAACCAGGAGTCCCTGGAATGAGGAAGCCCCATTTTCTGGGACTATGATCTCCCAAAAAAAATTTTTTTGGGGGGTTTTTGAACCCTGACAGGAGAGGCCACCTGTCCAACACTGAAGCCACAGTTAAAAATGCCATGGCCTGAGAGTTAGGAGCCATCAGGGCCGTGGCATGCGGTACAGCCCCTTTCATACTGTAAAGTGAGAATTCTGCTGGCCCGCTGCGGGAAACCTCAGACGTCTGTTTTTAAATCGCCACCCTGACCACCAATGTAAAGAGCCCTAAGGTCCTCGATCATTAATAAACGAGCAGTGCACCCTGCGCAATCTGGCATTAAACAGGCGCAGTACCGGACAAAATCATCACAGTTCCCAGGGATGCAAAACTCAGCTCTTCCTCCCCCAACTGTTAATGAAAATGGGTTTACTGACCTGAGTCCATTATCGCGCCCACTGGGGCCCAGGGCAGCTGTCCCCTCCTGGCCCAGCCCTTGCCCAAACCCGAGACAGGCATTGAGGAAGCATGGGAACATTCACCTGCTCACTACCTGCTTTAACCCTTGAACCCCACAGTAGTCCTTGGCAACTGTGTGCATTGCACTGATTGCGGGATGCTTGCACAATGGTCCCGCATTAACTTAAGCAGGTCCATGTGATGGGGGTGCTACATCCTGCCAAAAGCTACAGAGGGTATCATTTTCGCTGTTCCACTAAGCAATCATCATGCGTTAACATCCCATGGCTACTGCCCTACTGCAGATAAAGCGGGGTAACTATTGGGGGGGTGGTAAAAGTGCATCTCACCCATGGGTTTTTAGACCCCCTCGCCCAACCTCTTGTGCAAATGAGCCCTTAACCTCGTCCCATCCCGCCCATATCGATAAATGGCCAGATGGGAGCGCTGCCGATGTGGGTGGATGTTTCTAAATGTCCCCCCCACACTCCATTGCCTGTGCGCGCTCCCTTTGAAGCGCGTGGCACCGCGATCGGGATGCCCGCCGTTTCCTCCAATCACAGCAGAACACCGATCGCTGTACGGACCTCTGCGTAAGGGTCCGAATTCATAGTGATCACTGACTGGCCAATCAGTGATCACATGAATAGTAGTACACAAGATGTTTGTAGCAATCGTACCCACAGAGATGGACGCGGTTCAACCATATTGCTCCAAACCTCCATCTTTAGGCAAAGGATCATCCATCTTTGTACAAACATATCTTTCCTCATCCCATCCCCCCTCCCTCTCTGAGGGCAGAGTCACATTTGGTCGGTGTGTGTGTTGGAGGTGTCACAGGCAGGCCAGGGCACAGCGGGTAGCTCTGACTATAAACCATCTCTGAGCTGAGTACCGGGCTTGCTGGAAGCTGAGCAATCTGGCACCTCGTAAAAAGATAACCCAAGCCTTCCCCTGAGTTCAAAGACATTCCAGAGGAGTAAGGAACTAGATAAACACTTTTAAAATCCATTTTTCCCCCTATGTCTCATATCTTATATGAGAGACTTACATAAAAACCAGGCATATCTTCAGATTGGCCACGAGAAGACAGTTTGATATGTCACTCTCCTTGGCTGGAATATATAGGAAAGCAAAAAATTACATCTCTTGAACCCTTCAAGTATGTATTCATATTTCAAATGTAACCATTTCTCAGATGCTTCTGCATAGTAATCTACCCAGTGGGTGGGATGGTACTTGTGCCTAGGAAAAGTTATAAGCCAAAATATGAGAGCTATGAGAGATTTTGGTTATAGTTTGGGTCTCTGCCCAGACAATCCCTCCCCAAATGACGCATTGGTCCTTGGCTTCGGAGACACCCCCTGCTGGGGGACTACAAAATAGGCTGTCAGGCCTAAGAGAAGGAAGTTGAAAGAATTCTCCCTTTTAACATCATCCAACTTGGGAGACTGTGACCTTTTGCTCTGAAACTTGAATCTGCTTAACCCAGTACTTTGGCAAGTACTTATCTACCTAACTTTCTTTTTCTGTTATCTTTTGCTGTGACTGTTGTTCTCTGTATATTTTATATATATATATACTATATATATATATATATTGTTACAATCTTCCTTTCTGTAAATATTTTTATTGCACCCTTTTGACCTTTTAGTAATAAATCCTACTTTCTGAAAGTGTTGTGCACACTGTTTTTTCTACAGCTCTTTATTGCAACTTACGAATTCCTGCCTCTAAAAGAGCGCTACTGTGTGTGTTTAACCCGTCTGTATAACCTGTCTGCGGTGACATGCTATTGTCCAGGAATGGACTGGCCAGCAATAGTGGGACTCCCACCTGCCTTGTGAGCTGGCAGTACCAGGGCTGGCCAGCGGGTGCTCCCAGCAATCAGAGACTCAACCTTGCAGCCAGTCAAAACACTGGAACTAATTATACTGATGTATTTAAGGGACATTCAGACCTGCAGACTCTGCCTTGGTGTTGTGTTCTCTGGGCCCTGTATCCTGTTCCTGCTCTCTGTTCCTGTCTGATTCTCTGCTGACCCTGCTCTGATCCCTGGCTTGTCTGACCATTCTCCTCTGCCTGACCCTCTGTACCACGCTGCCCGCTACCTGCTGAACCTGGCCTGTGACCCCGACCATTCTCCGCTTGCTCCCCCTGTACCTACCTGCCTGATATTGACCCGGCCTGCCTAGACGACGCTTGCATTGTATGTACTGTTTATCTGTGGGTGGTTGGTTGGTTTGTTTGCACTGTATTATGTTTTAGTATTGCACTGCGTTTATGTTTGTATGGTTAGTGTTAATAAATTACATTGTTTATAACATATCTGAAGTCTGCGTTTCCCTGTGTCAGTCACACACCTCTGGTCATACCCGGGAGCCCTGACAGCTATACAGACGATTATCTCAACCATCATAGTGTTATTGTTGATATTGCCAAGTTTCCGCTTTCTCAGTACACAAATGAGGTGGTGGCAGTGTGAAGGGTTAATTGCGTAATTAACCTGACCCAGTAACAATCGCACTCAGGCTGCCGTACATCGATTTGTGGTCCATTAGCTGGCAAATCGTTGTGAAGGGTGCAGCTGGGCATGGCATTGTTACGCACATGACATCGCGGTTTTAGATTGGCTAGTCCTTCGGTCACAAGTTTTTGGTGAGAAGGTCAAGGGTCTGACGCCGCAATCCTCACAGATGTCAATTCCTGACATCATTGCTTATGAATGATCACAGAGGTCACATGGTACAGGGACTATCTTAACAGCCTTGTATCATGTGATAAGCTGTGACCAAACACAGCTCTCACAATATTTCTCAATGGCTGCAGGAATGCAGCCAGAGAGAAGGAGAAATGATTGCTTTTACAGCCTTTGTGGGTGTAAAAGCAATCAGTGTAAAAAAAGAAAAAAAATCTTCATCAACCCCCCACAGTGTGTCACTGCTAGGGTTTCAGTATGTAAAAAAAACAAAAAAAAAAAAAAAAACAAATAATATAAAAAAATTAAATGTAAAAAACAAAGTTGATAAATTATAATTTTTGGTTATAAACGAATGTTTTTTTGTACTAAAAAGATAGATGAATACGTTTTGGCCAAGATTTATGAAAAAGATTATTTATTTGCAAAATTGTATAAGAAAATTTTTTTTTCTTAATTTGTGGACTTTTTCATTTATATAGCAAAAAAAAAAAAAAAAATCCCAGCGGTGAATAAATATACCACCAAAATAAAGCTTTATATCTGTCTCAAAAAATGCAAAAACAATTCATATGAGTACAGTGTTGCATGACCGCGCAATTGTCATTCAAAGTGTGATAGCGCTGAAAGCTGAAAATTGGCCTGGACAGGAAGGGGGGGGGGGGGGGGGGGGGGGGGGGGAGTGTCCAGACTGGAAGGGGGGGGGGGGCGTGTCCAGACTGGAAAGGGGGGGGGGGAAGTGTCCAGACTGGAAGGGGGGGGGGGAAAGTGTCCAGACTGGAAGGGGGGGGGAAAGTGTCCAACTGGAAGGGGGGGGGGAAGTGAGTGTCCAGACTGGAAAAGTGTCCAGACTGGAAGGGGTGGGGGGAAAAGTGTCCAGACTGGAAGGGGGGGGGAATGAGTGTCCAGAACTGGAAAAGTGTCCAGACTGGAAGGGGTGGGGGGAAAAGTGTCCAGACTGGAAGGGGTGGGGGGAAAAAGTGTCCAGACTGGAAAGGGGGGGGGGAAGTGTCCAGACTGGAAGGGGGGGGAAGTGTCCAGACTGGAAGGGGGGGGGAAAGTGTCCAGACTGGAAGGGGGGGGAAGTGACCAGACTGGAAGGGGGGGAAAGTGTCCAGTCCTCCACTGGAAGGGGGGGGGGAAGTGTCCAGACTGGAAGGGGGGGGAAGTGTCCAGACTGGAAGGGGGGGGGGGAAGTGAGTGTCCTGACTGGAAAAGTGTCCAGACTGGAAGGGGTGGGGGGAAAAGTGTCCAGACTGGAAGGGGGGGGAAGTGAGTGTCCAGACTGGAAAAGTGTCCAGACTGGAAGGGGTGGGGGGAAAAGTGTCCAGACTGGAAGGGGGGGGGGAAGGGGGAAGTGTCCAGACTGGAAGGGAGGGGGGAGTGTCCAGACTGAAAGGAAGGGGGGGGGGAAGTGTCCAGACTGGAAGGGGGGGGGGAAAGTGTCCAGACTGGAAGGGGGGGGGAAAGTGTCCAGACTGGAAGGGGGGGGGGGGGGAAGTGTCCAGAACTGGAAGGGGGGGGGGGAAGTGTCCAGACTGGGGGGGGGGGAAGTGTCCGACTGGAAGAAGGGGGGGGGGAGGGAAGTGTCCAGACTGGGAACAGGACTGGAAGAGGGGGGGGGAAAGTGTCCGGACTGGAAGGGGGGGGGGGAAGTGTCCGGACTGGAAGGGGGGGAAAGTGTCCGGACTGGAAGGGGGGGAAAGTGTCCGGACTGGAAGGGGGGGAAAGTGTGTCCGGACTGGAAGGGGGGGGTGGAAAAGTGTCCGGACTGGAGAAGGGGGGGAAAGTGTCCGGACTGGAAGGGGGGGAAAGTGTCCGGACTGGAAGGGGGGGGAAAGTGTCCGGACTGGAAGGGGGGTGAAAGTGTCCGGACTGGAAGGGGGTGTGAAAGTGTGTCCCAGGACTGGAAAGGGGGTGAAAGTGTCCGGACTGGAAAAGGGGGAGGGGGAAGGTGTCCGGACTGGAAGGGGGGAAAGTGTCCGGACTGGAAGGGGTGGTGAAAGTGTCCGGACTGGAAGGGGGAAAGTGTCCCGGACTGGAAGAAGGGGGATGAAAGTGTCCGGACTGGAAGGGGGTGAAAGAGTGTCCGGAAGTGTGTCCCGACTGGAAGGGGGTGAAAGTGTCCAGAACTGGAAGGGGGTGAAAGTGTGTCGGACTGGAAGGGGGTGAAAGTGTCCGGACTGGAAGGGGGGGAAAGTGTCCGACTGGAAGGGGGGAAAGTGTCCGGACTGAAGTGGTTACTAGGATGGAGGAGCTATGTTACATGGAGGAAGACAAAATGCTAAAATTTAGGAAAGAGTGGAGTAGGTGGTATGATTTTAAAACATCTGAAAAAATATTTAAAAATGAGAGGTGCCTTGGTAGCTAGAGTTGGAGAATCAAAATGGTTAAATAGATTTATAGATACGGGTTGGTTAACAGGAGATGGTAAGATTAAAATGGACAGGGGTTTTTGTATTGGGAGGGGTGGGTTTTTGGGGGGGGGGGGATGGGGTTAAAGTGGATGTGTATATGATTCATTTCTATAGAAAAAAATAAAAATAATCCCAGTGGTGAATAAATACCACCAAAAATAAAGTTTTATCTGTCTCAAAAAAATGTTACAAAAAAAAATTCATATGGGTACAATGTTGCATGATCCGCGCAATTGTCATTCAAAGTGTGATAGCGCTGAAAGCTGAAAATTGGCCTGGACAGGAAGGGGGTAAAAGTGTCCGGACTGGAAGTGGTTAATCATTTTTTTTTACATTTTTTCTTTTGTGATATTTTTATTCGAGTCTTTTTAGAAGTCTGCAAAGAGTTAAGAGACAGCATTCCGCTGGTCGGTGTCAAACGTAGCCCCGCTATAGGTCTGCGGCGGCCACCCCGAAATCCCTTCAAGGCTTTAGCTCATAATGTATAGACATGTCTATTCAGCTGGATAAAATGAAAAAACAAAATCACCGCTCATATTTGCATTGGCGGCCACTTGAAAAGACGCCGCGTCCAATAACATTTTTCATTTTTTTCATTTGCAGCAAATCATTTTGCCCCCGTCTGGCGGTGATTAATGCCGCTTTACATTAAAGACATTAATACTGATTTTCCTCTGTTATTGTCCCTAATCTGCATATTGGAAGGCCTCCAGATCTCTGGATATACGGCTCTGCGGGAAAACAGATCCGTCACATCCATTACCCGGCCTGGAACGAATCTACGGAAGGACGAATGTGACTAGATGGACTCCCGGAGGGAAAACACAAACTTCTCCCCGGCTGTTCGTGTGTCACAGTCCCAGAAATCATAGCCGTTCATGGCGTGATGCAAAAAAAAAAAAAAAAAAACAATAAAAAAGGGATCTACTGAGCAAAACCCTAAATGTCTTAAAAACCAAAGAATTGCTAGAGTGATTATTAAAAGTATAAAAAAAAATTGTATTAAAAGTATAAAAAAAAAAAATCAGTAAGGGGTGTAGTTATTAAAAAAAAACGCACAACAATTCACCCAGCGTACATGCATGTACATTCTCTCTGTGTAATAAAAATTGAATGTTATCAGACCATTTCCTGTGCTGTATATATATCCCACAAGGAAGAAAAATATATTGAAATATATTTTTTAAAAATATTCTTCCCGAATATATTGCCATATATTTGAAATGCTAAACATTTTGGCCGTATTCAATATATTTAAAAAAAAAAAAAATAAATATATATATATATATATAATAATACATTTCAAATTATACTGTATGTGTCTTTAAAAATACAAATCTACATTTTTGGAATGCATTTACAAATATATATAAAAATATGTGTTAAAATTACTGTTTTTATATGTTAAGAAAAATAAGTATATATTTAAAAAAATAATATATTTTTAAAAATATATTATTCAGATATTTTCATACATTTTCCCTAATAAAAACGCATTTCAACATGCAGTATATATAATATATATATTGAATATGGGGCCAAAATTGTAGCATTTTCAAATATACGGCAATATTATTAAATTATATATATAAAACATATTTTAATTATATTTTTCTTACATATGGGACGTACTGTCTATATAGACACATACATATATTTTTAGTGTAAAACACTCTCGACATGTTGTGTAAACAAATATACTGTATAACATTTTCTCTCTCTCTCTCTCTCTCTCTCTCTCTATATATATATACACAGACACCACATATATTACACATACACACACACATACATATACATATAAGTACAACATATACACACATACATATATACACAAAACACAAACCGTATTTTTCGCTCCATGAGACGACACTTTTTCCCCCCCCCCAAAAAAGGGGGTGTATGTTAAATGTCAGTGCGTCTTATGGAGCGAATATAAAGCGGCTGGTTCCGAGTATTTTACCACCACCACCATGGTCAGAATACCGGGCCAGCCGCTCAGCTGTTCTCCTGCAGCAGGAGGAACTCACCTGTGTCCTCGGTCCAGTGCTGTAGGGGTCTTCCCAGCGCCGGCTTCTTCCCGCCCCGGTATCTAAGACAGCCAGGTGCCGCACTGCGCATACGTGAGAAGTGCTGCGCTTTGTGAATGGTGTCCGGGTGTCTTTTGGGACACATGTACAAGGTCCCAAAAGACGCTGGGCCATTCACGCAGCGCTTCTCGCGCATGCGCAGTGGGCACCCGGCTGTCAAAATCGGGGCCCACAGTATAGGAAGAGAACTCCGCAGAAGTGAAAGCGGGTACCCTGTCAAATTCAGATACCCGTTCCCCCTCCTTCCCTAAAAGTCTGCAGTCTCTGGTCATCCCCTGTACTGTGTCTGTAGTCTCTGGTCATCTCCTGTGCTACACCATGTTCCAAATTATTATGCAAATTCTATTTAAGTGTCCTAAAGAATAAATATTTTGTTTTTTTGCAGTTTAACTCATGGATAGATGGGCATTGTGTGTCAGGGCTCTTTTGATCACTGAAAACAATCTCTGAGACACCTGTGATAATTAGATTGGCCGTTTTTGTGAGAGCCCAATTTAAGGAAAAACTCCTAAAGGAGGGGATGTTCCACATTATTAAGCAGAGCACCATTTCAAGCAATATGGGGAAGAAAAAGGATCTCTCTGCTGCCGAAAAGAGTGAAATAGTTCAATGCCTTGGACAAGGGATGAAAACATTCGATATTTCACGAAAACTTAAGCGTGATCATCGCACTATGAAGAGATTTGTGGCTGATTCAGAGCACAGACGGGTTGGTACAGATAAAGGCACATTGAGGAAGATTTCTGCCAGATCCATGCATCGGATCCAGAGAGAGCAGCTGCTAAAATCCCATTACATAGCAGCAAACAGATATTTGAAGCTGCTGGTGCCTCTGGAGTCCAACGGACATCAAGGTGTAGAGTCCTCCAGAGTCTTGCAACTGTGCATAAACCTTCTATTCGCCACCACTAACCAATGCTCACAAGCAGAAACGGCTGCATTGGCAGAAAAATACATGAAGAGTAAATTTTTCAAACAGTCCTGTTCACTGATGAGTGCCGTGCAACCCTGGATGGTCCAGATGGATTGAGTAGTGGATGGTTGGTGGACGGCCACCCTGTTCCAACAAGGCTGCGACATCGGCAAGGCGGTGGTGGAGTCATGTTTTGGGCCGGAATCATGGGAACAGAGATGGTCGGCCTCTTTAGGGACCATGAAGGTGTAAAGAATGACCTCTGAAAAGTATGTGGAGTTTATTATGACTGACCACTTTCTTCCCTGGTACAGAAGGAAGAACTATGCTTTCCGTAATAAAATCATCTTCATGCATGACAATGCACCATCTCATGCTGCAAAGAATACCTCCGCAACAATGGCTGTTATGGGGATAAAAGGAGAGAAAGTCATGGTGTGGCCTCCATCCTCCCCTGACCTCAATCCTATTGAGAACCTTTGGAGCATCCTCAAGCAAAAGATCTATGAGGGTGGGGAGGCAGTTTACATCCAAACAGCAGCTCTGGGAGGCTATTCTGACATCTTGCAAACAAATTCCAGCAGAAACTGTCCAAAAACTCCCAAGTTCAATGGATGCCAGACTTGTGATCTGCTATCAGATAAGGGCTCCTATGTTACAATGTAACGTGACCGCTTCAAATGTTTACAAAGTTACAATGTTGTTAAAAGTTTGATTGAAATAGCTTTTGATTTCAGTAAATCTGCTGCAAACACAACAAATGACAATTTTCATTCTTTTACAACCTATAAAGTGTTTTGAAACTTCCTGTGCGGAATAATTTGGAACAAAAATCCTGTTATCATTAGGAGGTTTGTTCAATAAAATGTGAATTGTACTCTGCTAGTTGTAACCTGAGAATTATGCCGACTGTTATTTACATCAATTGAGGGAAATGAAAAAATATCATTTGTATAATAATTTGGAACATGGTGTATGTCCCGCAGTCTCTGGTCATCCCCTGCACTGTGTCCGCAGTCTCTGGTCATCTCCTGCACTGTGTCCGCAGTCTCTGGTCATCCCCTGTACTGTGTCCGCAGTCTCTGGTCATCCCCTGTACTGTGTCCGCAGTCTCTGGTCATCCCCTGTACTGTGTCCGCAGTCTCTGGTCATCCCCTGTACTGTGTCCGCAGTCTCTGGTCATCCCCTGTACTGTGTCCGCAGTCTCTGGTCATCCCCTGTACTGTGTCCGCAGTCTCTGGTCATCCCTGTACTGTGTCCGCAGTCTCTGGTCATCCCCTGTACTGTGTCCGCAGTCTCTGGTCATCCCCTGTACTGTGTCCGTAGTCTCTGGTCATCCCCTGTACTGTGTCCGCAGTCTCTGGTCATCCCCTGTACTGTGTCCGCAGTCTCTGGTCATCCCCCTGTACTGTGTCCGCATCGCAGTCTTGGTCATCCCCCTGTACTGTGTCCGCAGTCTCTGGTCATCCCCCTGTACTGTCCGCAGTCTCTGGTCATCCCCTGTACTATGTCTGCAGTCTCTGGTCATCTCCTGTACTGTGTCCGCAGTCTCTGGTCAGCTCCTGTACTGTGTCTGCAGTCTCTGATCATCCTCCTGTACTGTGTCTGCAGTCTCTGGTCATCTCCTGTACTGTCCGCAGTCTCTCTGGTCATCTCCTGTACCGTGTCCGCAGTCTCTGGTCATCTCCTGTACCGTGTCCACAGCCTCTGGTCAGCTCCTGTACTATGTCCGCAGTCTCTGGTCATCTCCTGTACTGTGTCTGCAGTCTCTGGTCATCTCCTGTACTGTGTCTGCAGTCTCTGGTCATCTCCTGTACTGTGTCTGCAGTCTTTGGTCATCTCCTGTACCGTGTCCGCAGTCTCTGGTCATCTCCTGTACAGTGTCCGCAGTCTCTGGTCATCCCCTGTACTGTGTCCGCAGTCTCTGGTCATCTCCTGTACTGTGTCCGCAGTCTCTGGTCATCTCCTGTACTCCGCAGTCTATTGGTTCAGAATATTTTACTTGTTTTTCTCCCCTCTAAAACCTAGGTCTTATGGAGCGAAAAATACGGTATATATATATATCAGGCTGCAAACTAAACCACGATCTTGGGCTGCTGCAGTGTTTTTTACTGCATATTGTATACCATTGGGCCCTTATGGTCTCTTTGCATGGAGGGGTTCATAAATCTCCCCCATGGCAGTATTCATCCTCACATTGGAGCTCCTTTGTCATCCTATCAGATTTTCCCGCACTCCATCACATGGGATCCTGAGCATGGCGTCCACAGCTCTTATAATATTTCCCCCATCTGATATATCAAAGTCTCCCCGGCA